TTTTTTGTCAATTCCTTCAGTGCAGCTTGAATATGTTCCTTCATTATCATTGGTTCTTGATCATATCTTATTTCCTGAAATGTTTCCGTGTTGATCAGTTCTTTCTTTTTTTGTACAAATACTCTGTATATTTCTTCCACCTCTTTTGATATGTCCTGCATCAAATAGGATTCAAGCATGTTATGCAAGGGTGCCACAGCATTAGAAATACAATAAGTACAGTCCACCAGATAAATAAGACAAAGAATCACATAATTATAAAAATTGTCAGAGAAAAGACATTTGGCAAAATTCGACACTGGTAGTGTGGCTTTAAGTAATTGTGCTGTTAACCCAAAGGCTGTACCTTTCTGATAGTTCAAATGCACCAGTAGTTCTGAGGGGGAAAGATGAGTGGTCTTCTCTGGTACAATTTACAGTCTTGGGCACCAATTGGAGATTCAGGTATGAGACAAATTCAGGTATGAGGTTCTGACTCAAAGGCAATGAGTACATGTTCCTGGTATAATCACTTAATGAAACAGGAATAGAAGTGATTTCCCCTCTTGTTCTACTGCCCCTTCTCCTGTCTCCTTCCTCTTTTGAACACAATGTGTGTTAAAGAAATAAAACATTTTTGAATGACCATATACAAAAAAATAGGAATAGAAGTATATTTCTTCAACAAAATTAAAAAACATATACACATAACAGCCAACATTTCTCTTTATGGAAACAATGAAGGCATTCCCATTATAAACAGGAACCAGATAAGCATGCTATTTTTCACAACATTTAATCAATATTATATCAGAAGTTCTAAATAGAGTCATTTTTGTTGATAGGTGACATTGGATAGAGTATGACTAATAGCGACCCTATGAACAACAGTTCTGAGCTCTGTCCTATCCTGTGCCATCTTCACATTTTCTGACACACTAGAGCCTATTGCCGCAATCACCGTGTCAATCCACCTGGTCTAGGGTCTTTCTCTCCTTCGCCAACCCTCCACCTTTCCCAGCATCATGTCCCTCTCCAAGGAATAGCCCCTCCTAGCAACCTGTTTGTAATATGTGAGGTGAAGCCTCATCATCTTTGCTTCCAGAAAGCACTCCAGCTGCATCTCCTCCAAGACATACTTGTTCGTTCTTTGGGCTGTCTATGGAATGTTTGGTGCTCGTCTCCAACACCTCAGCTCAAAGGCATCAATTTGTCTTCTGTCATGCCTATTCATTGTCCAGTTCTCAGATGAATAGCAGGTGATAGGAAAGACCATCAAGTCATTTGAGTAGACAAAGTAGTAAGGGGGGGGGGAAGTAAATAAAAGTATTAAAAGTTTTTCAATTGAGAGAAAGTGAAATTATCTCTATTTGCAGATGATACTCTATATATCTATATCTACACACAGAGACACAAATCTATCGTGTGTGTGTGTGTGTGTGTGTGTGTGTGTGTGTGTGTGTGTGGTGTGTGAATTGATAGTTCTGGTGGCCTAGTGGCAAGAAGGTGCACTGCAATTCTGAAGGCATAAGGTTCAAGGCCACCAGCCACTCCTCCTTTGTAATTAACTGCCTCTGAAAACCCACCAGAGGGTAAGCTATGGAGCTATGGGTCAGTTCCAACTCTGGCACACAAAAAACAACAATGTGTGTGTGTGTGTGTGTGT